TCCATGGAGTTCTCCAGGCAAGAATACTGGAGTGGGTGGCCATTCTCCGGCACATGCCATGAGGCGAGGCCAAAATAAATAATAATTTTAAAAAGAGAAGAGGTCAGACACACAGGAGGACAGCCGCGTGAGGCCACAGGAGAAGGTGGCGTCTGCCAGCCGAGGAGAGAGGCCTCCAAAGGAACCAGCCAGCCTGGATCTGGAGTCCCAGGCTCCTGAACGGGGAGAAAGCATGTTTCTGCTGTGTCGGTCCCCAGCCTGATGGGCTTCCTTTCGGCAGCCCAAGTGACAGATGCAGGGAGGAGGGGCCCAAGGACAGCAGGGGCCTGGCGAAGGAGAGTGGGAAAGACGCCATCAGCTCCACGGCCTCCCCGTGAACCGGGAGAACCTGTCTTATTGAGGAAAGGCTTTTGCAGGAAGTGACAGCTCTAAGGACAAATGAAGTTTCCATCAGGGTGTAGAAGTAGGGCAAGTGTGTGGAGAAGCCCAGGAATTCTCAGGACGGGGTGCATAGCCTCAGTGGGGCCGGGGAGGCTTGAAGTCGGGGTCTATCATGGCTAATGCCCCCTTTACACTCAGCGGAGGGCTGGCACAGTGCAGCTTCCTTTTTTTCTTCAGGCCGTGCCATGCGGCTTGAGGGATCCTAGTTCCCCCATCAGGGATTGAAGCCCCTGCTTTGGGAGCATGGAGTCTTAACCACTGGACCACTAGGGCAGTCTCACCATGCAGGTTCTTAATGAGCATGATTTGCAAAATATGAAGAGGTGGGACAGACATGAAGGAATGGTGGGGATGGGCTGGAAACGGTGGGGAACACAGGAAATTGCGGGAGGAAGGTCTTCTTGGGATTGGCAAATAGAACAGAAAGCCAAGAGGCAGCGGCGAGATGTCATTTCAAATGTCCAAATCCCCTTTAGTACAGCAGCCGATGAAAGCCTCCAAGATAAGCTGAGTAACGTCCTGGGAATGGGCCACCTTTACAACTTCTGTCATACTCAAAGCGTTATTACTTCAGCTACCCAGATACCTTGAGGGATGCATTATTTCTGGTTTCACAGTTTTCCCTTTAAAGGTTAACCATTTGGAGCCAAAAGTTTTCCTAAAATGTATTATGCACTGCCTCTCTTTTTCTCCCTTTTCTGAAAACTCAGAAAGTTAATATCTGCACAAACTGATACTATCATAAACTTCAAATATTTTATTGGATTGTCAAATAAAGATAACTGTTTATAAATAAGACATACTAGGCCACAAGACTTGCATCTTCAAGAAGCTACTCATCTAAATAGGTAGGTCCTAGCTATTTGCTAGCATCCCCAAGGCCTTCACAGTAAATCCCAGGTTGAGGGTGTTTTTGTCTGCTTATAGTTATTTGTCCTGCCTCACTATCCAGCTGTGTCCTGTCACTTCTTTCTGAACTGAGTGTGCCTGCCAATAGCAACCTCCTCTTCCCCTTCTAATTGATCGTTTCTTATCCACGTGATTAGGCTTCCCTGGTAGTTCAGCTGGTAAAGAGTCTGCCTGCAATGAAGGAGACATGGGTTCAATCCCTGGGTCGGGAAGATCCCCTGGAGGAGGGATAGGTTACCCACTCCAGTATTCTTGAGCTTCCCTGTGACTCAGATGGTAAAGAATCCACCTGCAATGTGGGACCTGGGTTTGATCCTGGGTTGGGAAGATCCCCTGGAGAAGGGAACAGCTGCACACTCCAGTATTCATTCTTACCTGGAGAATCTCCATGGACAGAGGAGCCTGGTGGGCAACAGCCCATGGGGTCACAAAGAGTCAGACATTACTGAGCAACTTTCACTCACTCACTCTCTACATGGTTAGGAAACTGGATAACCAAGATTGCTTGAAATGTGTGAAAAGTAAGCATAAGGACAAGCATCTCCTTTTGCTGCCCAGAAGCCAAAAGCTGCTGACGTCCTGATTCTCAGTTGGGTTTTAGGCTGATGCATTGCTAGCATACTTCTAAACCATTAAAGTTTTTTCCGAGATATCAGAATAGCAGGGAAGGTCAAATAACTCTTCTAAGTCATAAGTTAGACTTAGCTTCCTCCAAGATGTAAGTTTATTGCTTACGGAATTTTTAAATGAT